GTTGCTCTTCACCGGTATGAGTGTGTGTGCGTGGGTGTGTATGAGTTTGTGTATGTGTGTGTGTGTGTGTGTGTGTGTTTATGTGTGTGTGTGTGTGTGTGTGTGTGTGTGTGTGAATTTGTATGTGTGTGTGTGTGTGTGTGTGTGTGTGTGTGTGTGTGTGTGTGTGTGTGTGTGTGTGTGTGTGTGTGTGTGTGTGTGTGACTCAACAATCAATATTTGCACCAATAACTCACTACAGTTGTGACCGGGTGTGGAAGTGTGAATTGCTCATTACACTATAATTTGTTCATGATTGTAGCCATGTATAAACGTAAGTAACCATTCTTACAGTATTCATTACCTTTGTAACTTGTGAGTTCATTACCTTTGTAACTTGTGAGTTCATTACCTTGTACCTAGTTCAGCCATCCAAACTTTGGAGCCCGGTCCCTGGACCCATTGTGTACCTCTGTAATCTGTAAATACCTTTGTAACTTGTCATGATTGTGACTAGACCTACCCGGAGTTCATTACCTTTGTAATTTGTGAGTTCATTACCTTTGTAAATTGTGAATTCATTACCTCTGTAACTTGCTCAGCTATCAAAACTTTGGAGTCCAGTCCCTGGACCAATTATGTACCTCTGTAATCTTTTGACTACCGCCCACAGGATGGGTATGGGGTGCATAATAAACATATTAAACTAACTCTCTAAAGCATCTAAATATAACTTTAATTCATTAGGGTTCATGGTTTCTTGATTCATTAAATCCAAGCACTTACTGTATGCCTTCGTCACATGGCCTTTAATAGCCTGTAATGATGCTTTCATTACTCTAAAATTCACGGACTTGTCAGCCACATTAACTCCAGATCCAGTCATGGTTAGAGATTTATTAATCACTGATTATACAACTTAAGTAGGCGCCTTCTAAGAGTAATTCTTGCACTTTACTCTTGTATAAATCCTAGCCACACATGTGCTAGCAATTAATTGGGCTAATTATCATCCACCACACAATCGATTAAATTTGTGTACCCTATACCCACTTCCTTCAGTCACTTAATTATTAAGTAATTAATTCTATTATTTTTTTCACTGATTGCGTCCGGTTCAGGAAGGACCAACGGGCAGATATGGAAAATTTTATAGGGGTTACCTACATGTACCTCAACAATACATGCATACAAGTAATCTCACTGGGAGACAACAACCATATTGTTTACCGTAGTCACCCCATGTAGACATGTGAGAAAACTTAACCACCCCTGGTCCCTGCAGGTGGTTCCTTCTACCTCACAATCTTATCCATATCTATCCGAGACCAGTATGAATTGAATAGCACCCACAAGTAGAGTGCTACTAATTAATTGTGGACTGTATAGATTATATTAGTTTAACTGAACGAAGGGGGAGGGGTAGGTTACACATGGATATATCCATCAAGGAAAAACACTTGTACATAATCCCACCACTTACCAGATATTCTCTGGTGGTCACTTGATGTAGCTGGATCACCCATAACCTATTCAGTTCATCGACACCATGCCTAACCCTTCTAGGGTAGGGTAGGTGCCTGAGCTCGAGCCTTTAGCTCATAAGACTGTCATTCCCATTAGCCCCATTGGGGCGGGGATGGCAGACCAGAGAGGCCTAGCTTGTGGCTAGGCCTGGGGACAGTTGGTCCCAAAGATGAGGAGGTACTTGTGCCTCCTCCCATGGGAGACTTAGGTCTCAGACACTCCCTAAAGAGGGAGCCAAGGCCGGGCCACCACTTGGAGAAGGCCCGGGCCGGGAGAATACCGGCGAATATTTAATAATAATAATAATAAACCTATTCAGTTACAACATACCTAACTGGCCAGTATCAGTCTGCTATAACTAGAAGGGTTACTTAACTGTGGGTGATTAATACTCCTTATTTCCTCCAATCACCATTTCCAGCAGGACGAGGTATTCGTTGGTTTGTCCAGGTTTACAAGTCGTGACTCCATAAAAACTTCACTATCCTCGGGACAGGCACCACGAGGTCTAACGTGTTCACTCGGAGCAAGGCGACTTATTTCACTTCACGCATTCTCTTAACTTAGTGTTATTATCACTGATTACATTACAATTCACAAGACGATTTAATGTATCATAATTATTATGCACATTAGAGGTCATTCCATTAAGATCTGAGACCGATGAGTGATGATTAAATCATGGGTATTTTCCCTTGGACACACTCCATGGCATCGCACCAGTCACCACCGGTCCTACCATTATTCACTAATTTTACCACTTTATTACGGTGGTCCCGTAAATCATGTTCCCTCACTCTTCACCAGGAACAGTTACAACACTTCCTATTATGAAGTGAGGCCTATATTAATCCTTAGGCTGCCGTGAACGCCAATTCCATGGTCCCATGCTTTCCCAGCCTCTTAACTCTATTCAAAAAACTCCCGCTCCCTGATGCCCCGTCTCGACCTCTCCCCTGCCCATCAGCGCAAGCCCCGAGCTTCCCTGTTGGTTCTCTTTAAAATACAATTTAGAACAACAGTATTATTATTATCTTTATTTCTACAAGTGAAACTGGATGTTGCCGTGAGCTCTCTCTCTCTCTCTACCGATTCCGTCTGGAAACTTTCCTAAGGCTCTTACTTTCAATGAACTATAAGGAGTTTTGCAGGAAATTAAAAGTTTTACACCACTAAACACTAAAGTTATAAGAAAATATGATAACCTTATTGCTGACATGAAAAAAACTTTTATTGATGTGGATTGAAGATCAAACTAGTCATAATGTGCCTTTATGCTGAGCCATTATCCAGTCCAATGCCCTAAGTCTCTTCAATTCTATGAAGGCTGATGAAGGTGAGGAAACTACTGAATATAAATTTGAAGTTAGAAAAGGCTGGTTTCATCTCTGACTTCTTAAAATTAATTCTACTTCCCTCTCACTCTACATTATGAACAAAAATATTTTAAGTTCAGTAATGAGGGTATTGTATTGGCATTTTACTTTTTTGCAGGCCTATTTCTATTGCTAACTTAATATATGATAGTGTAAACATATTATCAGACATTTATATTATTAAAAAATGAAAAAAAAAGGGTGTTTTGCTTTACGGTGGTTGCCTAGAACCTAACCCGCCGTATAAGCGGGGCTCTACTGTACATGCGATGATACAATTTTCTTAACTGACTTCTGGAAAAATTATGACATCAAAGATGCATTCGAAAATATAGACAATGTTAGGTAACAACAGCAAGTAAGATGCTGTCGTGTGGCAGCGCATTTAGCCACAGTGTGTAAACGATTTCGAAGAATTTTCTGTCAAAAGCAGTCTGATATTGAAGAAATAGCAGACACTGGAAGACATCTTGGTTCTGATGAACTAGAAAGTCACAATATCCGGGAATTGTTTGTTTCTCTCTCGGAAGAACTGACTGATGGTAATCATTTAGATCAACAAGAAGCATTTGAAGAAGCCAACAACGATTCCCAAGAAGAAGATAATGTGCAAATGAAGGTGTTTACATTCAAAGAATTTGAAGACATCTTTCAGGCTGTAGAAGTCGTGAAGCAAAAAGTTATGGATGCTGATCCTTAACGTCGATAAAAGCATGTAAATACACCAAGATTGGCTAAAACTCTGTACACCTACCAGCGAATATATGAAGATTTAAAGAAAGAGAAGACTGATCAACCTATGCTGCTAAAACATTTTAATGACGATTTTGTTGTATTGTCTGGTACGATATTCAATATTTTTTTTATAACTACTCTTTTACTTTCTTTGTAATAAACTTAAATCTGAAATATATTTTTCTTATTATCTGCTGTTATATTGCCTTAATAAATAGGTAAGAAAACTTGAATTAAAAAAATTTCTTTGCATATTTTAATTGGGCTGGAACGAATTACTATATTTTACTTGTAATTTTTTGTGCCCCGCGACCTGGTGGTAAAACATCACTAAAATGGGTACCTGGGTGTTAGTGGACTGGTGTAGGTCGCATCCTGGGACAAAACTGACCTAATTTGTGGGAAATGCTCTGCATAACAAGTGACTTTCTATACAGTAGTATGTCATTAATGTCAACTATGGTCTGTATACCTTGTACATGTAGTAAATAAAGATATTATTATTAATATCATAATTTCAAATAATGCGAATTTGAATAATGCGACCACTTCAATGGATTCATTACTAATACAAATACAAATATTTATTTCCTTGTAAACCTTACAATGTGTGGTTTACATGTTATAAGACTTTAATTACAAAGATAATCACTATCATACCTAGGAACTTCGGGCCTGGTCACAGACCGGGCCGCGGGGGCGTTGACCCCCGGAAATCTCTCCAGGTAAACTCCAGACTAATACTAATTCTTATGCTATTATGATATAGGTCATATTTGAGCAGTACATTTGAACAAATTACTAGGTACTTAATTAGATATATTCTCAGTTAGGTACATACATAATTAGGTTTAAAACAGTAGTCGAGACCTAGCTGCATGTTTCCCATTAGCGAGAACCTAAATCTTAGCCCATAAGTCACACTTTTTTGCTTCAGTCATGAGAGAGAGTTAGACACTTTCATGGACCATGATCTATATCACAGATCATGTGAAACCACGTCTTTCACCATGAATGACAAACTCCACCAATGGCCATGAGTTACACTACAACGATTGGGCCATAATACTTGTACTCAGCCATGAAAAAAACACGTTCTGAAATGTACCGTAACATGCACTCTCCTATAGACCATGAAGGACAAAATCAAGGATTGACTATGAGATCTCATTCAGTCATAGCTAAATGCCCACTACCATGGGCACTAGAGGACACTTCTTTGAACCATAAGGCCCAGAATTTACCATGAATCATTAACACATTATTAACATACACTATCATGGACACACTACCATAGACAAGAAGTCACAAATATTTCCATAGACCGTGAGTAACACTATAAATGGTGGAGATACACTATACCATGGACCATGAATGTCTCACCTTGAGGAGGACAGCAACGGAGGGGGCGACGTTGACCAGACTGAAGGCGACAGAACACATCTGGGAATCGAAGGGGTAACGCTGCAGCAAGAACTGACAGGTGAAGTCAACAGTAAAGACCTGTCTCAACACCAGGGTGTTCTCCGACCCCAAGTACACGTCGTCTGCACCAGCCGCCCCACACCCATAAGCAAAGATTATTACACTTATTAATGGAGGTATAATACACAGATAACCCGCATACAGGAGAAAGCTTATGACGATGGTTAGGTCCGACTTTGACCATTAACAAGTTACACATTAACAATGGTCCTAGTCGGACCGAAACGTCGTTATAAGCTAGTTTCTCATAAAAGCGAATTATTTGTCACGGCAGCGTGTCTTATTGTTCTTCATCGAGGGAGGTAAATTGGAGACCTAAAAGCTTTATAAAGAACTTTAACAAATTAAAACTAACTTGAAAGCTTTAAAAAATTGATGTAATTGACTCTCACCTTCAAAAAGTCTTACATCGTCATCAATGGCCGGACGCCCATCCCTCTGCACCATCAGCAACTCTGACCTGAGCAACAGATCTGCCAGACTCCGTGACCCGTCCTCCATCTGTAGTCTCGGCATCCACACATTTTTGTGATCCTGTACTTTGTTCAAATTAAAATCTTCTCTTAAGTTTCTCATAGTTAGTCTCCCGTCGCGCCAGAACAAACTAAGGATGACGTCCAGTGCTATTTTGAAGCTCATAATGTCTAATCTCCTAACGGAGGTGATTTCGACGAAAATGTAAACAGGAACAGCAGCATTTTGCTCTTTAGGAGGAGGCATGTCGACGGAGTAGCCACTTGGAATTTGCAAGAAATTACAGTTTATTTCATCACTTTTGTCCAGACAGTCGCTTGTCAGGTCACAGCGCTGCGACTTTTTTATACAGTTGCCATCGCTACATGTAAATTCACCTTCACTACAAACAGTTATCAACATCTCCACCTGCAAGTTTAAGAAAATTCTCGTCAAACTATCTTCCCTAAATCGATATAATCAAGTCACTTCATGAGCACACAGCAAATTATTGAAAACTATATCATTATTACAATTACCTCATTAATGAGACACTTGTCGCCCATGAGAGTCCATGTATGAACTCCGAGAGGATATTCACTTGAAGTCTTCATCACCATATAGCTTAACAGTTTCTTGTGGCTACGACTCGTCAACTTCCAGGTCGAGTTGTCGGTGTCCCAGTAGATGGTTGTATAGTGTGGTCCCCGGAACTGCACTCTGTCGTTTTTGTAATCCCAGATGAAGAGAGTTTTGTCAATAAGTGAATCTTTACAGAGGCCACGCACCTTAAAGGTGGGCGTTGACGTGAAGTTACAGAGAGGACACATGATGATCTGACAAGGTGTACTGTACCAATTGTAGGGAAAAGAGGCACCACCTACACTGGCACACATTTGTCCGAGCTTAACTTTATCATAGCCTTTGAAAAGTTTATTCCAGGATAAGGTTTGGTTATTAGTCAAGGTTAACCACTCGCCTGACTGAAGATCTCCTTTAAATCCCAGCCAGTACAGCGTTCCATAATCGTCAACACAAATGTCATTAAATCTAACGAACTCGTTGAATATTTCAGTGTTTTCTTCGTCACTTTTGGGAACGGCCATTGATCCTTTCATTATGGAGCAAATTGAAAAGGAGGACTGAAAATCCAGCTTCTCCAGAAACATTACCAGAGATGATGAGTTTTGTTTGCATAAGGAACCGAGTGGAGCCTCAAAAATCTCAACAGAGCCAATTGCTTTAAACAAAGTCATATTCTTATCAAAGTAGATAAGGGGCTTTAAGCTGGTCATTGGCTGTTGACACTTGATATAAGGCCTGAGACTATCTAAGGGCAGTGCTTGAGAGAAAAGAAACAAGTGTCTGTACGTCTCCATGAATGCTTTGACGGATGTCAAATCCTCCTGCTAAGGTATCTAAGTCTTGGGCCAACACAAGACGACCGCCTCCAGCAACTGACAGCTTCTCTTGACCTCTCCACCTCGAACACTTCTTCCTTCTCCTAAAATTTAACTTTTCAGTTAATATCATGCAGAAAGAAACTGGCGTTACTCATATCAAGAGTAGATTTGTTTTAAAAGTCATTACTAAGTTTTAGATTATACAAAGATCACGAATCATACATGAACATCACCACATCATCGTAGAGAAAGCCAATATTTCCTGTCGATAAGATAGAGGGCGATGGCAGAGTGATGCCACCTATACATCACCCTGGTACAGGTACCCTCATTCACACGCGGTAGAAACAACATTCAAACGTTTCAATCATCTGATTCTTTCCAGTTTTACAGCTGTGGTTAGAAGAACAATAGTTATGTTAAACATCTTCAATAGCGAGATTATTTGCCGAGTTATTATGGAATGAAAAACAAAGTTAACATCTTTTTCCACTAAATAAGAACCATAGAACTTATGGAACAACAGAGGCTTGATTACACTAGTCAAAGAAGGTCTCAGAGCATGTTTAAAAACATGTTTCTGACTAATTTTGGGTCTCTGAATTAAAATTTGAACTTAGGATTGTTTCAATACCTACAGTTTCTGTGACATCACATCCTTCTCTCACCCCCAATTACTTTTCAACTAAATTACTGTTTATTGAATGCTTGGTCATTTTATAGAAGATGATTTATGATTTTGATTGATTTTTGTGGACTTATGAGATTGTTTTATCACTAAAAAAATGTATTCTAAACGGCCACGTACAATGACTCGTGGCTGCTTAAATGACAGTTAATGTTGCAGTTTAAAAACTGTAGTCTAAAGCGCCCTTCTGGCAAGACAGTGATGGAGTGAATGATGGTGAAAGTTTTTCTTTTTTGGGCCACCCGGCCTTGGTGGGAATCGGCCAGTGTGATAAAAAAAAAATTATTATATATGCCGCCAATAAAAAGTAGGGGCGCCATTGGTACACTAAGAGAAAACACCATAAGTGTCCGGGGCCCAAGACTGTTCAACAGCCCCCCATCAAGCATTAGGGGAATTGCCAATAAACCCCTGGCTGCCTTCAAGAGAGAGCTGGACAGATACCTAAAGTCAGTGCCGGATCAGCCGGGCTGTGGCTCGTACGTTGGACTGCGTGCGGCCAGCAGTAACAGCCTAGTTGATCAGGCCCTGATCCATCGGGAGGCCTGGTCATGGACCGGGCCGCGGGGGCGTTGATCCCCGGAATAACCTCCAGGTAACCTCCAGGTATGTAGCAGCGTTAATCGGGCAAAACAAAGACGACACATTGCACCTCTTGTGAAAACGTCTTATTTTCACTCCATTGAATGAAGATAATGTTTCCACTTCATCGTCCCGTACAAGAAGCATCCGTCTCTACGAGTTGTCCTGTACTTACCTAATTGTGGTTGCAGGGGTCGAGACTCAGCTCCTGGCCCTGCCTCTTCACCGACCGCTACTAGGTCCTCTCTCCCCCTGCTCCATGAGCTTTATCATACCTCATCTTAAAACTATGTATAGTTCCTGCCTCCACTACATCGCTTGCCAGACTATTCCACTTCCTAACTACTCTATGACTGAAGAAATACTATCGTAAGGGGTTCTTAAATGGAGATATCGAGGGTTGAAGGTAGACACACTTGTTGGATGGTAACATATATATTGTCAGACTGTGATGATGAATGTGGAGCCCAGCCTCTGCCTGTCTTCGCCTGTAGGCCCTACGCCGACTGAGAGGGAGGCAGAGGTACGAGCCAAAAACATGGCATCCCGTGAGCCCACACAAAGTCACAGGCCTACAAGGGTTTCTCGTATCTAAAGCCCATGGACGATACTAATATGCTATGCTATAAAAACACAGGGATCACCAACTTTTGCTGACAGCTCGGTCATGTTACGTATGTCATCTCGACATACACTAATATCTATAGGCTGAACAGGCAGGGGGTTCTGGGCTGATTCTATACAATAACAATTCATATAAAACTTAGAACTAATGGATGGTATCAAAAATGGATTTTACGTAATGGGTGTTAATGTATTCTTTACAAACTATAAGAACAAATCACTATACAATATGGATGGAATTGATCGATCGATCTGTATTCAAGCACTCTACGGATTCTGGGGGAAAAATAAATTATATAAAATATATAAAGGTGAAATTAACAGCAAAAGCATCTGGTGCACTCAGACTATTACAGTCAAATTCTCAAAATACGGAGGGAACGGAATATGAAAAAAAAATTTTTTTTTGAAAAACAAAATCAGTTAATAACAAACAGTGACAATTTACTTCATCTCGGACATCTAGTTATACAGACTATGTACATTTAAACCCAATTCTGCGAGGGTGATTTTAAAATTGCAGAATGATTATATCTCTGGAAGGATCGAATTCCTCTGCAATGGCTAACACATGCCTTGACTGAGGGAATCTGAACAAGTATCTACAAAAGATACTTGTGGGTTCTCTTTACTTGTCGAGTACGCAAGGAGTAAACGCCCTTCTGGTTGGTTACTGACTGAGTATCTGAGGTAAGGGTACAGAGTCAAGAGGATTTCACCCATCTGTCATATTATCTGGGTAGCAATATCCTCAACATCGCATACTAATTTCATATGATCTAAATGCGATTCTTTGTACTTACCAGTACTAATTTCTCTAACCTTATATTTTATTACCAGAGATATGTTCTACTACTCGATAAGGTCTGACAAATTTTTTGATCGAGCTTAGGCATTTCGGATGTTTTGTTGAAATTTGTCAGCATTACTCTTGAACCTACTTTTACTTTTGACGGCTTAACACGGCTATTAGTTACTCTAGTAAATTCTGCTGTTGATTTATGAAGTGTTTCACGGATTCTTCTAAAAACACTCTGAGCCATGCTGGTAACGAGTTGCTACGAAATCATCAGGGTTGTAATTAGGTTTCAGAGTGTCATATAACAACTCATAGGGTAAATGCTTGTCTACACCATACAATGCATAATGTGGAGTATCACCTATGAAGCTTTGTAAGCAGAATTTATGGCAAAACTGGACATCTGGTGTGACTTCATCCCAAGTTTCACTATTGGGGTTGATAGTGGCTCTCAGGACATCAAGTACTTTTTATTGGTTCTTTCGGCTGACCCATTGCTGGCAGGATATGAGAACAATGGTGGATTTAGAGATCTTGTATAAAAGTAAAACAAAATTTCAAGAATCTCATACAGAATTCACCTCCATTTATCTGTTACTAAGGACTTTGGAGGGGGTATGCCTGCAGATAAAGCGTTTTTTAAAAACGCTTTAGCTACTGTCTCTGCAGTCTTATCTGCAATAGGAACTAACTCACAATATCTGGTGAAATGGTCTACCATAACACACAATGTTTGTTGCCTTGGAGGGAACATTTAAAATTGGTTAACAAATCAAGGGCAACTTTTTTCCCCCATGGTTCGCTAGTGGTTGGGTACATTTGGGATTGGATTAGGACCATTGGCATTTCCTTTATGTTGCATACAGACACTACATTTTTTAAACATACCCGGAAATGTCAGTTTGCCATTTTGTGGCCCAAAGTATTTCATTCTGGCTTGTTTTCACAGAAACGATCCATACCAGGGGGGTGCAACACCTGGTGCATAAATGAACTAGCTGTAGAGCTACGTTCACTAGAGACTGTGGAATTACTAACGGGTAAACTCTTCTGCTTGGAGTCCCCAACTTGGCTGTTCGATACAGCAATTCTTGGCTCATTACAAAGTCACTAATGGGTGCTGGTGGCTTCACAGTAAGAATAAGATCTTCCTGGAGCGGGAATCGAATCACCCAGACCACATGGGATCTGTTCTTTGGGCAGTTTTTGACATCCTCGACAGTAAATGGAGGATCTGCAGTAACTACACAAACGTGTCGCGATAAAGCATCTGCGACTAACATTCGACTTGCCAGGTAAATGTTCAAAAGGGGGACTGAACTCTTGGATAGTTCAAGGTCCATCTGGCTAACCTTCCAGTAGGCTGTTTGTTCTGGAATAAAGGTATTAGTGGCGCATGGTCTGTCAAGAAAAGAACAGGGTACTGGTAAATAATGTCTCGGAAGTGCTTTAAAGACCATACTATTGCTAAAGCTTCTTGCTCCGTTACTGTATAATTACGTTCAGCCTTCGTTAGGACCGGCTAGCAAATGCAACTGCGTTGTACTTCATCAGTCTTTGAGCTATACGGCACCTTGCCAATTGAAATAGCATCAGTTGTCAGATAGAAGGGCTTAGAAAAATCTGGAAATTCAAAATTGAGCAGATGTTAGCTTTTCTTTAGAGTTTGGAATGCGTTTCTTGACGGAAGGTCCAAACAAAGGAGCATCTTTCTTAAGCAACTCAGTTAGAGGAGCAGCTATGGAAGAAAAAATTTGGGAATGAAAGATCTATAAAAACGTGCTAAACCCACAAAGGAACTTACGGCATCAGCAGTTTTGGGAGTTGGAAAATTTAGTACTGCAGTTACTTTACTTTGGTCAGTCGTAACCCCTCTAGGGGTGACTACGTGACCAAGAAACTTAATTTCCCGATCTGAAAAATTGACATTTTTGCAGTTGATCTTTAAATTGGCTTCTTCAAGCTTACCAAGTACTACATCAAGTCTTTTCAAGTGTGTATCCACGTCTTTAGACATGACGATTACGTCATCTAAGTACACCATAAGTGCATTACCAAAGAGACCTCTAAAGATATTAGTCATGAGCCTTGAGAACGTGATAGGGGAGGATCGTAATCCAAACCCAATACGGGGGAAATGATAATGACCTGTAGGAGTGGAGAATGCAGTTAGCTCTTGGGTGTCCTCGTGAAGAGGGACTTGCCAAAAACCCTTGTAAACAAGTCCAGGGGTCGAGAAGACTTTTTATCTCTGATAAATTTCGTAAAAGTCACCTAGTAACAGGAAGTGGGAAGCGATCTGGAATGGTTTTCGCATTTAACTTCCAAAAATCAATCACCAGGCGCCAAGTGCCGTCCTTCTTAGGCACTAGGATCAAGGGCGCATTCCAGGGTGGAATTGCTAGGTGCAATAACTCCATCATCAAGCATTTGATTGATGAATTCTTCTGCGAAAAGCAACTTGTGAATGAGGCATTCTGTACGCAGGTATGTAGATAGGTCTAGTACCAGGTTCAAGGGAATACGATGGGACAATAAGTTCGTTATACCCATCTTCTCACCTGGTAATGGCTTTAAAGACGTTTGTTCAGCAGAGTCAACAAACGCTTGACTTCATCTGGGAAGTCAGTGGGAAGCTAAGTCTTTCTCCTCAACTTGGTGAAACAGATTGATCGGTGAGTGGATGAGGTTCTCCCCAGTAGAAATAGCACCGACCCACTGGTCAGGTGACAACTCATCCTCTACCTGAACAGGGTAAGGATAGTGAAACAAGGTCAACAACATTGGTATTTTCTCTGAGACGAACACTGTGACCAGAAGAGTTAGCTAGAAAAAAAAATGAATCTTACTATATCTACAACATTAAGGGTGGTTCAACAAATAGACCCTTTTACTTGCAGAATCACTGTCAACTAGGACGTATCACCATCTGGAACACTAGGAACAACAACAGACACTCTAGTGAGAGCACTAGCCGCAACAAAGACGTCTTTCTGCAGACGGCCATGTGACATCAACAAGAGAAAGGCCATTACTAGTTTTCAAGTAATCGTTTTCTGACAGGCATCCCCTGTGGAGAAACTACTACTCGAACTAGCAGTCATTGCAGGGATAGGTTGTGCACTCAAGGCAGTCTAAGTGTCCCCGGACACTTGAGGCAACGGAACACTATCCTGCAAGTCTGAAGGTAAAAGGTGGAACACAGAAAGGGAAATGACAGAATTACCAGTGCCTGACTGCTTGGGTACGCTACTGGAGAATGCATGCTTTTAAGGACTTAATCCGTACATCATACTCCTGCAGCAGTATGACAGATTTCTGATCCAAGCTGGTAACCCCAGAATGGAACGATCAAGTCGTCAATTTGGGCATGCCATCGGTATGGGACGAGCACAATGCGTAAGTCTCGCATGGAAGCAAATCCCAGTAGAAGGTCACCAGGGAAAGTAAATCTGGTCGACAACAAGAAAAGCAGCAGTAAAGTCTCTGCCTTGGATAGTAAAGGTGAGTGAAGTCTGACCTCGGACTCGCAGAAGAGAACTGGCTACTCCACTAAGGGAGGTTACAGTAGTTGGTTCAACGAGGAGGACACGGCGTTACTGCTTCCCTTTAAACAAGCTAGACCTGATGATATTAACTTGCGCACCAGAGTCCATGAACACATGAAACCCGGGCGCATTATGGACAGAAGCTTGTACTAAAGGACCAATCGTTACATTAGGGGTTATATGCAAACAGAAAGGTGAGTTGTCATCGGAGAATGCATTTCTACTTCATCCCCAAATTCCTCTACGTCCCGAACGTGGAAAACAACATCATCAGCAGGATTTGTCATTCTCGAGACTGCTTAAGGCTTCAAAGGAATTGTGAACGGGGATGATGTACTCATTATCACCTACCGTCACCATGGGACGGTTTGACTGGGGCGCTCGAGTTCCCCCGAATTGGAAGAATGAGCCTGGTTCTGGTTGTTTTGAGAACCACGATGTCTGTTTCCTCTACGGGTTCTGCGGTTGGAATGGCCACGGAAAGACCTAGAGTATTGAAGGTTCATTCTGAACCAAACGAAAAAAATATATTTCACTGTGTTTGTTTAGTATTAAATTATTGTAAACAAATCTAAAATATATTTAGTTGGGTTAGGCTAAAATAAATTACTCTTGTTATAATAAGGTTAGGTAAGTTTTCTAAGATTCTTTTGGTGCAAAATTAAAAAATTTTACATTAACATTAATGAACAAAATATATCTTTAAAAGTATAAGAGAAAATTTCAGAAAGGACTTAATTTTAAATGAGTTCTTGCTAATTGACCAGAGAGGGGGTAAAGGAGGTTTTGTGGGCAAGGGGCTTGGACTTCCAGCAAGCGTGCGTGAGCGTGTTAGATAGGAGTGAATGGAGACGAATGGTACTTGGGACCTGACGATCTGTTGGAGAGTGAGCAGGGTAATATTTAGTGAAGGGATTCAGGGAAACCGGTTATTTTTATATAGCCGGACTTGAGTCCTGGAAATGGGAAGTACAATGCCTGCACTTAAAGGGAGGGGTTTTGGGATATGGCAGTTTGGAGGGATATGTTTTGTGTCTTTATATGTGGTATGCTTCTGGACTGTTGTATTCTGAGCACCTCTGCAAAAACAGTGATAATGTGTGAGTGTGATGAAAGTGTTGAATGATGAAAGTATTTTCTTTTTGGGGATTTTCTTTCTTTTTTTTTTTGGGTCACCCTGCCTCGGTGGGAGACGGCCGACTTGTTGAAAAAAAAAATGTAATATATATATATATATATATATATATATATATAATATATATATATATATATATATATAATATATATATTATATAACACCAAATAAACTCGTGCTAAATAACGGTCAAAATATATAATACATGTATGTATAATATATATATATATATAAAAAAATATATATATATATATATATATAAAATATATATATATATATACATACATGTATATATATATTAGACCGTTATTTAGCACGAGTTTATTTGTGTATATAATATTATATATATAAATATATATATATATATATATAAATATATATATAAATATAATATATATATATATACATATATAATATATATATATATATATATATATATATATATATATATAAAATAATTTATATTTATACTGTGCTCCCATTCCTTCGAGAGAGAGAAAGATTTTTTTTTTTCCGGTCAAGCATGGTCAAGGAAGACCATGGGTAGATGGCCGAGCAAAATGTACACAGTAAGCCTACATGACTAGTTTCCACAGTTTTCCTCAGAGGGCAAACCTCTAGGTGGGTATACCCAGCTCAGCTCGTACCATGCCTGCCTCCCTCTCACTACAAGACCGGTCGTTTACTAGTCAACAGCTACCCTCCAGGACTGGTTCGGTACACCTGACACTGTCCGCTGTGAACCTTATTACTCCAAATAAAGCCAATCTTGTCAACAGCCGTATATCTCACCTACCTCTCCGCAAGCAAGGCCGGACCTCGTATTCAGCGATTACCTCAAACTCCGCTTCTAACGCCATTCTTCTTAGTATTGAACTGAAGCAGCCACTGGCTGGCTAAATATTTCCTCAGTAAAAATTCCCAAAAATTGAACAAATGTCTTGCTCTTCAATTTATCAGTTTTGAAAACCATTTATCACAATTCCAAGTTACACGAAAAAATTGTGAATAGACAAATTTGCTTCACAAATTAAAATTAATCAGTACTATACTGGTGGCTGGGAAGCTACACAAGCTAATTGTCCCAGAGAATTTCTCTTTAAGTTGGTTTCAAAGCTGGTGTTTCTTAGAGGAAGATCGGAATTAATTTAGAGGAGTATGTGTTCTATTCTGCCATTTTTAATTGAAAAAAAAAAACTGGGATATTGGTGTCCGTGTGGTACTTGTGAATACCAAACCCGATTCGCTGTATCTTTTCAACGCTAATACTAAACTGCATTATAAATTCATGCCTCAGTTTGCACTTGTCTTTTCACATGCAGAGACTGAAATACATCTAGTTTTTTGCTTCTCAGAAATGGCGTAATGTTACAAATAAAGAGTTGCTTGATGCACAATTGTAATAGATATGAAAATTAAGAAGAGAATTGTATAGCTATGTATGAGTTATTAAATATTAAATGACACTCATGAAAAAATTAAATAATCATTGTGAAGTCTTACTCGACCTGTAACAACTTCAGTCAGTATTACTCAGGCTGGCTCCTCCTCAGGAAAATTAATGAATAGAAAAAGAAACAATTAACAAAGATAAACACTTTATTATTAGAAGGTCAAGAGAGGCCTGAGCTTGCTACCATCTGCAGCTCATAAGACTGCCATCCCCACGAGCCCCTTTGAGGCGGGGTAGATGGCAGACCAGAGGCCTAGCTTCTCTCTACGAGCCCCGTGAGGGCGGGGAATGTGGCTAGGCCTGGGGACACTTGGTCCCAAAGATGAGGAGGTACTGTACCTCCTCCCATGGGAGACTTAAGTTTCGAGACACTCCCCAGATAGGGAGCCAAGGCCGGGTCACCACTACTTGGAAAAGACCCGGGCCGGGAGAATACCGGCGAATAAAAAAAAAAAAAAAAAAAAAAAACTTTATTATTTAGTAATGCAAAGATAAAACAGTGAAACATGAAGGTGTATCCTACTTGAAAGAAAAATGAAAAATATAAATGATATCTGAATCCAACGCTAATATGTACAGTTAAACTGGGGTGGCTGGTTGCTGTTGACACCGTCTGGTAGAAATTGTAGCCGTTGATGATGATGTGGGGGGGTCACAGGTGTTGAGTGACAACCCAACGACTAGTTCTTCACAGAGTCTATAGCCTTGAATAGTCAGTCCAGATGACAGGAACGCAGGTTCTTTACCACTACAAAGATGAGGGGAAGTTGTCTGCTGTTGCCTGCAATTAATCAGGTAGGTAGATCAAAAAGTGATGTCTCAGGACTTTTTTTCAGTCCGTCTCCTTCAACACGTTTCTTTGGTTGGCAGATGACCCGAGCTGTTATTCCAAGCTAGAAAGAGACAAAGGTTACCCACCGCTTAAGAAATCACTCTCCATGATAAGTACAATACCTAAAAGAAATTGTGATTATCTAAAAGCATAACATGGAACTTAAGACTGAAAGGACTAAGTTTATTATTGGTCAAAAGTGAAGCTTTCAACCAATAAGTCAACTAGAATAGGAGCAGGCTTTTACTTACAGTTGTGCTGGGAGCTGTGAGTCAAGTGATTACTGTTTGGCAGGAGCCCCACACGTCACCTTTCGGGGTGGGGAGAAAGGGGGGACACATAAAGGGAGCTAGACTGACCCTGCCTTAACAAGCAGCCGGCAATCAAACTATCGTCACCATATACACGCTCGCTACTCCTATCTGTTGAACTTTTCCCTCACAACCATTAAAAGATGTCTTTACTTTTAGATAATTTATCAAAGGCAATGTTTGTATGTCTACAAAATTCATGTGGAGGGAACAAATGGTAGACAGGTGGAAATGAAGACAGATGGTAGACTGGAGTAGCTGAACACAGCTGGAACAGCGTACAAATGGTAAATACCTGAGACGGAGCACAGATAGGAGACAGCTTGATCTTACCTACTTGGAGTTCGTTGTCGGAATCCTTGGCGAAGTAGCTGAGGATTGGAGAGTTGTTCTCACCGGCGTGAAGCAGCCGGTACCTGACACACACAGTCACCTGTAATTACACCTGACACTGTTATCTGGTACTCAGTGTTTGCTGACATTAATGTCTTGGTACGACAGATAGCTGAGTGACACCAATGATTAAAGTACTCTTGGCTGCATAACACCCGTGAATGAGCAACTGACATGGAAGAATGTAACATCTATGACTGGGTGACACCAATAGCTTGGTGACAATTACAAGTAGGTGATGAAAATAACTGGGTGACAGCCACAGCCATGTTCTGCTACACAAATTGTGGATTGCTTTGGAGAAAATTATGTAACAGTGTTTGATAAAGCATCAAAGCTGATGAAGTTAACATTGTGACTGCTAGTGACTCCATATTAATGTAAAATAGAAAAAGAAATCTTCACCCATGTACAGTGTCAGAAAGAGAGGACGGGAATGACACCTGAACTACACTTGAGAAAGTGGGAACAATCCCAGTATTGTACCTAGGAGTAGTAAGAATAACCACTGTACTGTACCTGAAAGAGGATGCAAACGGCCTCTGTACTGTGTTTGAAAGACTGCAGCAACATCTTAATCGTACCTAGAAATAAAGATCTGACCCATGTACTTCATGTACTTTATCTGGAAGAGACCAGGAATAACCTGATTACTGTTCCTTTGATAGGGTAGACGTGACGCTTGTACGTATTGGTCTTGAGAGACGGCACCAGGGATTACTGTACCATTCCTCGGAGAGGGTACGAACTAACTCTGTATTTTGCTTGATTAAGGAGAGAACTGCCTCTGTTCAGTACCTGAGAGAGGGTCGGAATAACTCACGAATTGTAACTGGAAGAGAACGTGAACATTCACCAAACTGTACCAGAGAAAGGGAAGGAATAACCACTGATCTGTACCTGGGAAAGCTCGGGAACATCCACGTGATCAGCGTCTAACATGGCGTCGACTGTAGCCAGTCGTCCGTCTTTGGAACCTTGCCACAGTCACTGGGATTCCATCTGGTGGATTTATTAAACACATGACTAGAGAAAACCAGGGTGAAAAAAACAGAACTGAAAACCTTAACGCTATCGTATGTGTAGACACATATATCCTGAAGATGTGTTAGCATATAACACATATATAACACTCAATATATAACACATATATAACACTCAATATATAACACATATATAACACTCAATATATAACACATATATAACACTAGATATATAACACTTATATAACACTCAATATATAACACATATATAACACTTAATAGATAACACATACATAACACTAGATATATAACACTTATATAACCCTCAATATATAACACATATAAAAACACTAAAAACCATACCACGGGCGGGGATAGAACCCGCGATCAAAAGAGTCTCAAAACTCCAGACCGTCGCGTTAGCCACTGCAATCGTGTCATTACGAGTTCGTGAGTCATGATAACACTCAATATAAAACACGTATATAACACACAATATATAACACATATATAACACTCAAGATATCAAGGGTCACCATGATCCTCAGAGGAGGTGAGCCAACCGAACTAAGTAACTATAGACCGATATCTAACTTGCCTTTACTCTCTACAATCTTCGAAGAAATAATAACATAAGAAAGAAGGAACACTGCAGCAGGCCCACCGGCCCATGCGAGTCAGGTCCAAGTCACCTACTGGCCCAAGACACTGATCCAACCTAGTCAGGTCCAGGTCACATCCACTTTAGGAAGGAGCCCGGCATCAGACCTACTAGCACAAGCTAGTCAGGTCCAACTCACTCACACCCACCCAAACCCACTCATAAGAACATAAAGAAGGAACACATATTTTTAAAACTACAAAACGTTTTAGCTTCTTGACGGTACTCGGGAGTTTGGTCCACTCATCCACAACTCTATTACCAAACCAGTGCTTTCCTATATCCTTTCAAAGGAATTAATGTAAAATTGCTGTGGATCCCATCACACATTGGATTACTCCTTCATGATAAAGTTGATATGTTAGCCAAGAAGAGTACCCAGAAGGAGAATGTAGAATATAACTTTGGTATAACTGTGTCTAGCATTACGAGTATCAGGAAAGAAGTAAACAATGAAAATGATTGTTATAGGAATGCAGTTATATGTCTGAGTAGATCTATAACCCACTATGATAACATGAACGTAGATAATTATGTTTATGGAGCAACTTACAATGTGAACACTGACTGATGTTGTAGTGGCCAGGCTTAGTCTTGGTTACAAGTACTGACATATGTTGTAAATGGCCAGGCTTGCTTGGTTAAAGTACTGACTGTTTTTGTAGTGATCGGCTTAGTCTTGGTTACAAGTACTGACTGATGTTGTAGTGGCCAGGCTTAGGCTTGGTTACAAGTACTGACTGATGTTGTAGTGGCCAGACTTAGGCTTGGTTACAAGTACTGACTGATGTTGTAGTGGCCAGGCTTAGGCTTGATTACAAGTACTGACTGATGTTGTAGTGGCCAGGCTTAGTCTTGGTTACAAGTACTGACTGATGTTGTAGTGGCCAGACATAGGCTTGGTTACAAGTACTGACTGATGTTGTAGTGACCAGGCTTAGGCTTGGTTACAAGTACCGACTGATGTTGCAGTGGCCAGACTTAGGCTTGGTTACAAGTACTGATTGATGTTGTAGTGGCCAGGCTTAGTCTTGGTTACAAGTACTGACTGATGTTGTAGTGACCAGACTTAGGCTTGGTTACAAGTACTGACTGATGTTGTAGTGGCCAGACTTAGGCTTGGTTACAAGTACTGACTGATGTTGTAGTGGCCAGACTTAGGCTTGGTTACAAGTACCGACTGATGTTGTAGTGGCCAGATTAGGCTTGGTTACAAGTATGACTGATGTTTTTAGTGGCCAGGCTTAGGCTTGATTACAAGTATGACTGATGTTTTTTGTGGCCAGGCTTAGTCTTGGTTACAAGTACTGGGCTGATGTTGTAGTGGCCAGACATAGGCTTGGTTACAAGTACTGACTGATGTTGTAGTGACCAGCTTAGGCTTGGTTACAAGTACTGATGATGTTGTAGTGGCCAGGCTTTGTCTTGGTTACAAGTATTGACTGATGTTGTAGTGGGCCCGGCTTAGGCTTGGTTACAAGTACTGACTGATGTTGTAGTGACCAGGCTTAGGCTTGGTTACAAGAACTGACAGATGTTGTAGTGACCAGGCTTAGGCTTGGTTACAAGTACTGACTGATGTTGTAGTGGCCAGGCTTAGTCTTGGTTACAAGTACTGACTGATGTTGTAGTGGCCAGGCAAAGGCTTTTGGTTTCAAGTAACTTTGGGGGG